TTTTATGTGTATGAGTGTATTGCCTGCATGTATGTGAGTGTACTCGTGTCATGCAAAGCCTCAGAGGTCAGAAGAGGGCTTCGGATTCCCCTGGAACTGGAGTTAAGGATGGTTTGTAGCTGCCATATGGGGTGCTGGGAATCGAACCCGGGCCCTCTGCAAGACCAGTCAGTGCTCTTAACCACTGAGCCATCTCTCCAGCCCCAGGATCGTAGGCTTTAAAGGGACAACTCCGACTTGACTAAAACACTCCCCTGTGACCCTCAACCTAGAGACCACAGTCATGCTATACCTGCTACCTCACCTTCTACTTTCTAGGCTTCCAAGGCTAACACCACACCAGCTTTGCCACTAAGGACAGAGGCAGCCCTGTGGCAGAGATGACCACACCACTGTGGGCTAACAACTGACTTGGGAGACCCCACAGGGCAGGTGAGCAGGAGAGGTTTGTGGCCTTGAGAAAGGCAAGAGGTAAGGTCTCTGTCTCAGAGTCCCCTGTGGAATTGTCTTCTTCCTTGGACATGGGGACGTCTCCCAGGACAGGGAGGCCAGAAGTAAAGAGAAGGGGCAGAGAGGGCTAGGTGGGAAAAGTGGCTACACAATACAGTTCAAGGGAGGAGTCTCTCCAAAAAGCTAATCAGAGGGAGGGCACGCCTGGACCACAGAGTCTCAAGTTCTGTTGATCTTCCTCTGGTGCCTAGAGAGGGCCCCATCTGAGGTTTCTTAGCCATATGCTAGCCTCAGCAGTCATGGGAATGGGCTAGGGGCCATATGCCCTAAGAAGGAATAACAGGAAGGTATGAATGGTAATATGACCCCACACATAGCCTTTTGACCAGGCCCCACACTGTCCTGTGTCCTTAACCTGGATGGTGTCTATGCAAGACAGTATATACAGAGGTGTTTCCCACACTCTGTTAGTGTAGTGCACTCTTTCCAGGGCTAGTATATCAGCCTTTCTACAATCATTGAATGAGACTTCCATAGATGGCAGGGCAGAGTAAAACGAGTGAAGGGCAGGTACGGAGATGGGGAGAGGAAGGGGAGGTCCAGTCCCAAGCAAAAGAGGTTCCTGAGGTACAGAAAAGAAAAACACTTAAAAAGTGGGTTAACCTAAGCAGGCCCCCCCTGGGAATGGCCTCCTGTCAGCCCTGGGGACCTGGCTTCATCTCCTCCCCAAGGCAGGTACAGCAATGGCCAGGCTAGCACCTAGCAAAGGCCTGCATACAGCCAGCAGTCAGCATGCATCTCCTGGAGTGGCCAGAGGTTTGAGCAGAGAGGTGAGAAGTACAGCTTTCACTAGGGAGGGTGCACATGTCAGGACCCGTGCCAAACACTTTACGTACATTATTTCAATAACTCTCTCAGAAGCCTAGGAGATGGGTCCTGCTATTTTCCCTGTCCTGTCAACATGAAAACAGGCATGGAGACGGCTACAAGTTTACCCTGAGATGTGCCCTTCATAAGGGTGGTGAGCCAGTTTTCCTAGCCTGACCCTCCAAGCTGCCAACTTCCCTCTGAAGAACCAGACTGGTCTACGGGACAGAAATACAGACAAAGTCTCATGCCAAGCTGAGGCCACATCAGGGAGAGAGGCCAATAATTATGCAGGAAGGGACCAAACCAGTGGTTAGCACACGGGGTTCCAGGCAGCCTTGACCCTGGGTACCTGCTCCAGGTCAGAAGCAGCTGATGTGTCCCAAGTGTCCTGCTCTCTGCAGTCAGTGGGGTTTTGTTGATTGCATTTTGCAAGGCAACAGATTTATTTCCAATCTAGTTTAGATACGGTATCCACAGCTTTCTAGTGAGGCACGTGTGGGGCTGGGGGACATTAATAACTCCCTTTAATTGCCCAAATAAGGGGGATCTGCCAGACTTCAGTAGGCTGTGGGAACAGCTTTATTTTCTTTCTTTCCACAAACAGGCTGGGAGGACTGGGCCCACTCTCAGTGTTATTCCCGCTCCTGTCCACTCTGGTCCTGGAATTCCACACAGATGTTTTCAGGGCAAAAGACCCCAAATTCCACACTCTTCTCAGAAGCATCACTTTCACAGAGCTGACCCTGGAGAACCCATGACTGCCCCCGACTTTCTCTCTTCCTCTACTGACCAATGGGTGGGGTCTCAAGTGCCCCTCAGCCTGAGGACTCCAAGAATCATTGGCAGAAATGAGGGATCTCTATGAGGGACCTTAGATGCAGAGTAAACTGGACCTTCCACTTCAAGAAACTTTGTTTTAAATCATAGACAGAGTCCTTGGTCCCTAGGCATCAGGTCCTGGGGGAACTTGGGTGTGACTTTAGTTCAGGTGGTGGGAAAAAGGATGTCTCAGTTCCATGCAATCCCTGAGAGGCACATGGTGGGAGACGCCCAAGGGTCCTAGGCCAGGTATCCCATGGTCACCATGGGTCTGCCCAAGCTGGGCATGCTGCCAGGAACAGCTAACAAGCCCCTAGAGGTGAGGCAGGAAACTGTCTCAGGCCACATTCAGAGGGTGAGCCTATTCAGTCACCACGGCATTCCCCTTTGGGACTCCCAGCCAGTCACAGGACCTGCCTATAGATGGGAAGGGGGTGGGACACAGGTCTCAAGGGCACTGCAGAAGCCTAGGGAGAGGAAGCACTATGCATCATGGCAGCTCAGTCAAGTGTGGATAGGCATCCGCAACTTGGCTGTGGATATCTGGAATATTCCAGGGCTTGGGTGGGACTGAAGAAGGGCCACACTACCACCAACTCTCCCCACCAATGCCTCCCCACTCCCCTCACCCCTGCAGATACAGCTCCCCTAACACAGTGGAACAGTCTTTTTCTCCAGGATTCCTGGCCTGGAGAACAGAGTGTGGACTGTAACGTAAGCCCTTTCAACACCTCATCAGGATACAGTGCACAGGATCCCACCTGTGGCAGCCCTGACAGGGGAATGGTCACAAAATTGTGGAAGGTGGCTAGGTCTTGGAACTGCACAGCTAAAAATCAAGGGTTAAAATTCTCTCAGGAAGCAGGGCCTCTTGTTTCCCCCTTCAAGGCTTCCCACTTCTGCATTCTCATCACCCCCAGAGTGGTCCCATCCAGTTTCTGACTGGACACAAGATGTGCTGTGTTTGATGTGGCCCTATGAGCCAGCCCTACCTTTCCAGGGCATAAGTGAAGTATGTTGGTGCACCTGTCCTCAGCTTACCTGCTGTGCCTTCTCCTAAAGCTGAGAGGGTCTAAGGGTCCTGGGAGACATAGAATGAAAGATACAGTAGAAGGCAGGCCAGAGGTGTGGCTCAGAGGTAGAGCACTTGCCTGGCATGCAAGATGGGTTCCACACCCAGCACAGAAGAGGAAAAAGGGTATGTGTGTGTGTGTGTGTGTGTGTGTGTGTGTGTATGTGTATGTGTGTGTGTCTGGCAAGATGGCTCAGCAAGTAAAGGTGCTTGCTGCCAAACCTGATGACTTGAGTTCAATCCCTGGGATCCACATAGTGAAAAGAAGAGAACCCACTGCCTCAAATTGCCCTCTGACATGCACACATGATAAGTAAATTAAATGCCTGGGTACAGATTCTGGTCCTTCCTCACTTCACAAGAGGGAACACCCAAGGGGCTGCAGTCAAATCATCTCCACCCTAGCAAGAACCACCCTGTTCTTGCAGGAATGGTCCAAGTTTAACATAACAAGAATGACAGCAAACACTTGCTGAGAGGTTTCTACCAAGCCCTATCCTAAGGACTTTCCAACATGTAATGCTTTAAAGCCTTGAGCTAGGCACTAATATACCTAGTTTACGGATGAGGAAATCAAGGCACTGAGAAGTTAAGTGGTTTACTCAAGGTCACACGGAAACTAAGTGGTTGAGGTAGGATTTGAACTCAGGCCACCTGTATAGTTTCTGATAAGAGATTCAGATCCAGTTATTTGTGGCCAATGGGGCCCTGCCTTACAACTGAAGCGCATTCTGCTCTTTCCTCTTGTAAACAGGATGGTTTGGGGGTGGGAATGCTATGAGGAGAAGAGAGTCTGCTAAAGTTTCAGGCTGTAACCACTCATTTATACATGCTTTGTTCTAATTTACACAACGTGACAGCTAGCAAGTTAAAGGGGGTTGCTGAAACATCTGTTGGCCACCTATATGCCTGATGCCCACCCAATGCACCCAGTTTCATTAAGTTTCCAAGATGGCTTTTCAAGGTATCTATGCCGGAGTCCCTTTGCAGGGGAGGAAACTGGGGTGCGGGTGCAGGAGGTACTCCCTGGGCTTGAGACCCAAGATCCTTGAGCTTGAGACCCAAGTCCCTGGGATTCCAAAGTCTGAGGGTCCCAGGAGAAAGCGCGGGGCAATCAGATGAAAGGGAGTAAAGAGAGAAAGCTGAGCGCTGGAAAGTGAGGAGGCCGCAGACACAGATGTGAACTCCAGGAAAGAAACCTGGCCAGACGGGCTGGTACTCCTAGGTCACTCTAAGGCTGGGTCCTGCCAAGTCTTGCGAATGTCACTGGCCAGGTCCTGGCGGTTGAGGGGACGTCCCTCCAAGTCAGCTAGCCAGGGATGGAACGGCAGGGAGGAAAGACCTGGCGCCCACCCGCTGCGCTCCCTGCCCTGCAGCGACTTGCAGGGAATACCAGAAGCCCTGTGTTTATAGCACGCCGAGCACCAGCCTCTCCCCTCCCCAACCGGCACCAGGGACAGTACAGCGGTCGGCTCTGGTCAGCATCAAAGACAAATAGATGTGCAGTCAGGGTGGCCAGCACCTGAGGCCCCCAATCCAGTGCCGAGTGTGCCCCTTCCCAGGAGACGAGCAGCGGCGACAGAAAGGCGAGAGGCCCCCCTCCCTATCCAGGCAGAAAATGGAAGAAAGGGGCTTTTGGTCCCCGAGTTTCCCGCCTCTCTCCCCTTGCCTGCGGCACTTTGGAGAGGAAGAGGGTCCTAGTGGACCCCAAGCCTCAGACGGACTCCCGGTGCCTCCTTTGTCGCGCTCCCCCAGCTGTTCTCTCTATGCCGCGCTCCGAAGCACTCACCCAGCGGCACTCTGATCCGGGGGCCGAGCGTCCGCGTACTCATCGGCTGCAGCAGCAGTTCCAGGAGCAGCAGCAGCAGCGCGCACAGTGGGGCAGCGGAGCCGCTTGCCCGGCCCATCGCGGCACGGCGCTTGGAGTTCAGACCGCGGCTTCCTCTGGCTCGGGTCCGGGTCCGGGTGGCTCAACTGGAGTCGCAGGTTGCGGCTCCGCCCCGCAGTCCGGCTCCCAAGTCGCTCCCGCCGCCTCCGCCTCCGGACCTGGGGGTGGCGATGGTGGGGAGACGGTCACGTGGGAGGCCGCGCAGCAGGCCCCTCGCCGGGTGCTGTCCGCGCTGTGCCCCGAGGGATGGAGGGCACGGAGCAGGAAGTCGGCTAGGCCGGCCTCTCCCGGCGCGCTCCTCGCTCAACCCTGCCCCCTTCCTCCTTCCCCGGCGCAGAGCAGGGGGGCACCGGCTCAGGACCCGGGCTCGGGGGCGGCTGGGAGCGGGGCGGAGCCTGGAGACCTGCAGCGCCTGAGGCCGAGGATAGGCACCCCGGGATACCTGGCCCAGCAATCGGACCCGCCCCCGCCGAGGGCAGAGCCCCTTCCGGCTCCCGGGGATCCTCCGCCAGCTCGCCTCATCTGCCCCTTCGTCAAGTGCCCCCTATCCCCGCTCCCAGCCCAGCTAGTGCAGACGCCAGGACTGGTGGCTTTCCAGACTCATGTCCGCGAGGGTCGGCCTACCCGAGCTCTGCGCTTGGTTGGTCTAGGTACCACGCCCGGGTGGCAGTGCTTAGAATTCTGTCCACGCGAAGCCCAGGGGCGGAGCAAAATTAGTTCAAGTGGGATAATGGGATTTCATGGACTGCACTTGCAAGGAGGCCAGACGTTCCCCACAACCTGCACGTGGCTGGGCACAGGAGAGGATTCCCCTCTCTGCCACATCCTGGCTCCTAATACCCTCGCCGGGGAGCTCCATTCTGCTTTCCAGCTGCAGCCTGGATCTTTAATAGATCTGAGGTCAATTTGAAGGATCGTCAACGAGAGAGAGAGAGAGAGAAAGAGAGAGAGAGAGAGAATACCAAAGTACATTGATCATAGAAAGGACAGCAACGTTTTGGAAGCCTGTTTCAGCTTTTCCTATGTATGCACAGGACTGTCCTAAAATATAATTTCTTCCATAGACTGAAAAGAACTTAAAAACCTGTGCTCAGCTCATGGTTCCCGTGGCTATGGGGACCCTTTCTCCCAGAATTTCCTGCAATTGCAGGGCAGCTCTTCTGCACTCCCTGCCAGGATCAGCATCCTGGGCACATTCTTTTGCTCTCCTTTACACCTCCAAGGTTCCGCATATCCTTTCCCACAGGTGGGTGACAGTCAGAGTGTGGACATGCACTTGGATGGATCCCAGGTCTTTCTAACAGCCAAAGGTCCTGATGCCCCAGAATTTCTGTACCTTCACCACCCTGACATCTGTCTGTGAACTGTCTTTTACTCTTCATGTTCAATCCACTAGCAAATAGTGATCCACTAGTGATCCATAATCTGACGATTTACTGCTTCCCCAGATCCATCCTCTTTCTCCTGGCTACTGTGAGGCTCTCCTAACTGCTCTCCCTGCTTGTCCTCTCCTATTCCTCTAGTCTTTTCTCAACACAGTTGCTAGAGTGAGCCTTTAGAAATGAAAAGTCAGGGACCAGTGAGATGGTTCAGGGGGTAAAGACACTTGCTGCCAAGCTTGATGATCTAAATTCAATCCCTTGGAACCCACATGCTAGGAGAGAATGAACTCCTGCAAGCTGTGTCCTCTGACTTACATGTGTGTGCATGTACGCACGCACACTAAATAAATGCAAAAAAAAAATTTAAAAAGCCAACTGAGTGTAGTGGTGCATGCCTGTAGTTCTATCGCTTGGAATGTGCGGGCAAAAGGACCAGGAGGAGTTCAAGGGCAGCCTCAGCTACATTGCAAGTTGGAGGCCAACCAGGGCTACATAAGACCTTGTCTCAAAACAAAACAAAATAGCAACAACAAAAAAGCTTAATAAGTAAATAAAATGAATGTCAGGTCACAGCTCTCCTCTGCTTAGAATCCTTAAGCACCTGGAATGGTGCCTACACACATGGTAGGCAGGTCTTCAATAAATACTGACTGAATGAATGACCAAATGAATGCATGTAACCTAGGAGTCACAGAATTCTACTGGGGGGTTCATCATAACAAACAAGAACAATCTTTTGATATCAACTTTGAAATTATGCAATAAACTCTTACAACTTAGTATAGGGCTTCAAAATTATCTCTTTTAAGTCTGAGTTCTGGCTCAGACCTTGTCCCACAGAGGTCACTTTGACTTCTGATTCTGGCTTCCCCTCCTAGTTTTGAGTCATCAAATTTGATTAAGCATTCCTTACACCTTTAATCAAGTCATTGATAAAAGTAGCGGGTGTGCAGACCTAGCCTCCAGATCTTGGTTTCTGTATACCACTCCCCAGTAAAAGGAACCAGAACTCTTTGGAGAATGGAAGGGAAAGTATAAGGCAAACATGAGACATTTTATTGGACCAGAGAGCAAAGAAGTAATCTAAGTCTAAAGGGGTCATGCCTAAAGGACATAGGGGCCAGCTTGATGATCACTTTGAGCATCAAGTGGCATAATTAAGTAATGGAGTCTAATGCATCAAATTAAAAGACAACCCATTAGTCCACAGCATGACGAGAGAGAGAGAGAGAGAGAGAGAGAGAGAGAGAGAGAGAGAGAGAGAGAGAGAGGGGGGAGGGAGGCAGGGGGGATCTCTCTCTATATAGAAATGTTCGGTCTAAGGAGACAGGAAGGAAGCTTCTCTATATGGAAAAATGCTGGCTGGTAAGCATGGAAATGAACAGATTAGAAAATCTAGCAAGGTTTATAGATGGATGTGAAGAGTGTTAAGAAAAGTCTCAAACTGATAGATGACTTACTAGCCCAAAGGAAAGTGTCATTCTGCCAAAGAGACCTGGTAGCCACCATCTTAACCAAATGATCAAAAATAGCATCACTAGCAACAGGACTAAGACATAATTTACTTCCCTGTATGATGCCATAGGAAGTTCACAGCATTAGTCCCTGGAGGGTTCCTGTACAAGAGAGTTTAACCCAGAGTTAATAAAGAGGAACCAAGTAGACACAGGTAGAATGCATGAAAAGCATTCTACAAGACAGCTAGCCTGGACTCCTCAGAAAGAGCAATCTGATGAAAGGCAGAAAAAGACGGAGACTGTTTAAGGTTAAGAGACTAAGGACAAAATGACCAAATACAGTATGTGAACCTTGACTGAATCTTGGAGAAACAGAAGCGCTGGAGGAACAGGGGAAGTTTTAGTATGCACCATGTGTTAGTAATAAATTTGAAGTCCCATATTAGGTTGAGAACAGGATATTTAATGGCTGCTTTAACACCCATTATCTTAGTTAAGAGACTAGTATTTCTTGGTATAATAAAATTTTGGTTTTTGGAGATATCTGTGATATTTTCAGAGGTGATATGTCATAAGGTCTGAAATTTACTTTTCAAAAGATCTGGTAAAGCTAGTATGTGCATGTGTTAGGAATAGTGTGAATATGACTATAGAAAACTTAACAGCTGGTTAATCTATATAAAGATTTGTGGATGTCTTGTGCTAATCCTCTAGCTTTACATTTGGGGAAAAATAAGACTTCTCAAAGCTAAGCCCAGTGGCATGCCCAAAGAAAGTTCCTCCAGGGTGAGGCTAATCAATATCCTTTGTAGGTTGAGCAATTGACTATGTGTTCTTTTTTTTTTTTTTTCCCCCTTTGGGCTTTTTGAGACAGGGTCTCCCTGTAGCCTCAGCTGGCCTGGAACTTGCTTTGTAGACCAGACTGGCCTTGAACCCATGAGATCCGCCTGCCTCTGTCTCCCAAGTGCTGGGACTAAAGGCCTGTGCCACCACATCCAGCCTAACACTGTGTATTCTCTTAACTACACTGTTCAGCCCACATTTTTCTCCATGCCATCCACAAAAATATTATGGAATTTTTTTTCAGGGAAAAATTTGTCATTCCTTGTCAAGGGATGGGGAAGATAGCTCAGAGATAGCTCAGGTAAAGTGCTTGTCATGGAAACACAGAGACCCAAGTTCAATCCCTAGGACCAATAAGATTTTTTTTAAAAAGCCAGGCATGGCAGCAGCTGGAATTTGTAATCCCAGCACTGGGAGAGGAGACAGGCATATTCCTGGGGTTTCCTGCCAGAGTGCCTAGCATACTTGGCAGGTTCTAAGCCAGTGAGAGACCCTGTCTTAAAAAAACAACAAAGAACCTAAGGTAAATGACACCCAAGAGTGTCCTCTGACCATGTATACCCACACACAAAAATCCAGGAAAGTCATATAAAGAGCCAGGCATGGTGGCGTACACATTTAATCCCAGCACATATATTAAGGTACTGGCTGGAACAGTTTCTTCTGTCTTGTGCTTCTTACCCCTACCTAGAGTAGTGCCTGATCTATGAGTACCTGCTCAATTAGCATTTTGTTGAGAACCTGAATCTGGGTATCAGTAGCTCCTAAAAGCAAAGGAGGTTGATCTTCCCTAGTGTCTTGGCAACACAGGGCTTGTCTGATGGCTGTGTTCATCCCTGAGGAGAGGAGGCAGGGGCTGATGCAGCCTCTTGTGGTTGTTAATTATATCCTGCTCATGTGCTTTGAAAGTATGTCTTATGCCAACTGGGCACCAAGCCCCTAGAGGGTAGTGACAGGTCTTCTGTCTTCCAAACCCTCCCCTCCCTGCATGCCTAGCATGGCACTGTAGTGGGAACTCCACAGGGCTGACCACATGAGGGTCCCTATTCTTGACCCCAGCATGGCAGCCTTGGTCCTTGTAGGCTTCACTATCTTCCGTTTGTGTGCTAATGTGCTTTCTAATGTGCTCTCCCAGACTGGAAGAAACAGGAGGTGACTAACAGAGAACTGCCTTTGAGCTGACTTCATGTGGGCAAGAGTGGTTCCCAAGCCAACGATGTGTCTCCTGTTCTCTGCCACTCTTGGATGTAGGCAAGTGTTTCTTGGCCAGGAAATCAGGGGGGCAGCCTGGAGAGAGAATACCAAAAAATAGAGCAAGAGAAAAGAGATGTTTCCTCCATGCCTCAGCCAGCAAGATGAAGAGTCATCGGCAAGCTGTCAAGGCTGGTCCTGTGTCCATCTGTACTCACAAGCCCTCCTTCTTCCTCCCATTCTCTCTCTCTCTCTCTCTCTCTCTCTCTTTCACACACACACACA